TGCCTGTTATCTGTTCAGCAAGCGCTGCTAGCCCTGCGCCTGTCCTGCCTGTAACCTGTTCGGCTAGTGCTGCTAGCCCTCCGCCTGTCCTGCCCTACCTACCAAGGACTCAGGGACTATGACTCTCCTGGCCTACCTGACCATGAAGGCCAGGGAGTCAGAGGCAGCACGGGCAGCTAGCCTATGGCCTGATAGCCTGGAGGCTAGGCTTTCCCTGGAGTCGTCCTTTGAAGGGAGTCGCCTAGCCATCTTTTCGGGTTCCCGTGGTGGTCATCGGAGGCAACCAGGTCACCATCAGCGACCCGTCGGCAACCAACCTGTCCCCCGGTTTGCTAGAACGGCTAGCCGCCTGCCTGAGTCCCGGCCCGCTGGCGCTGCTAGCTCCACATCAGACCAGCCTGATCCCTGGCCCACTAGCGCTGCTAGCCGCCTGCCTGATCCCTGGCCTACTCCTGCTCCCAGGTCTCACTCGGTGGTCCTACCGACACCTGTTGCTGAACCCTCATCGAAGGTCCGACTGACACCAGTTCCAAGGTCTCCGTCAGTGGCCAGACCGGTTCCATCTCCCCGTGCCCCGTTGGTGGACCGACCGGCACCAGCTCCGCCGGTGGTCCGATCGACTCCTGTTCTCTCGTCGGTGGTCCGACCAACACCAGCTCCATTGGTGGCCCAGCCGATTCCTTTTCCTATTGCTCCGTCGGTAGACCGACCAGCACTAGCTCCACCGGTGGTCCCATCGACTCCTGGTCCCTCGTCGGTGGCCCGACCAACACCAGCTCCGTTGGTGGTCCAGCCGACTCCAGCTCCTCGTGTCCGGTCCATGGTCCCCAGCCCAGCTGTCCAGTCGGTGGTCAGGCCGACTCCAGCTCCTCGTGTCCGGTCCATGGTCATCAGCCCAGCTGTCTCTCCCGTGGACCTCAGCCCAGCTGCTTGGCCGGTGGTCCTCAGCCCTGCCGTCCTGTCCGTGGTCCTCAGCCCTGCCACCTCGCCCGTGGTCCTCAGTCCAGCTCTGCCACTTGAGGCCTCAGGCCTCCTACGTCGGCCTCCTGACCAACCTCCGGAGAGGTTCCGCCCTCAGCGCTGGCCTCCTGTCCGATCTCCTGAATTCTGTGACCCCCGTGTTCTGCCCGGCCTGTTGGGTCGTCCTCCGGGACGGCCTCCGAACTCTGTGGCCCCCCTGTTCTGCCCGGCCTGCTCAAACAACCTCCTGGTCGGCCTCCTGAACTGTTCTGCCCCTCTGCCCTGCCCTGTATGTTAGGCCAAGCGCCTTACCTGCCCTGTTCCCTAACCCTGATTTGCCTGTTTTGTCTTCCTTCTGGACCTTATGACCCCCCTGTTCTGCCCTCAGGCCACCCGCCGGAGAATTCCCTGTCTAGTCCCTGGCCTCTCTGGATTTTGATTTTAGTTTTTCTGGCCCACCTCCTGTCCTCCCTCCACCCACCCTGGTCGGCCTGGACTTTGTTGTTTGTGTTTCCTGTACCTGGGAGTTCTGTTTGTCATGCTTGGGATTAATAAACCCTGGAACTCAATCTCAGCTCTCAGTGTCATGCGTTTGGGCTCTCCCCTGCTTTGCGCACCCAGCAATCCTGACAGGTTCAACACACCTGCTGTGTTCCCCACATTTAAATGATCCCCAGTAAGGAGACTTTAGAGACTAGCACCTGCACATGGAGCCCTGACTCAGTGAGAAACAGAAACAACAGTCAACGTCCACAAACTCTAATAGATACACAGTGACAGTCATATTTCCAAGATGTTAAACTAGTTTTAACTGTTATATTAAGATAAGGCACACACATATTAAATGAACTGGTGGGTCTTGTTTGGAAATGCAAACTGTGATATAATTATGCTGATGACACATGAGCAGAAAAACACATAAAAATATATACAGATATTTAGATTATGGGACAAAATGTGTAACATAACGGACATGGACCGGTAACCTGCTTCTATTTTTGTGTATATTTTGGAATTGCACCTTATTGATATTTTATATTATCTGTTTGCAGTCTATATATTTGCTTTTATTCCTGTTTTGTATTAGAACTGCTGCACAACAATTTCCCTCCAGATAAATAGTTCATGCTCTTCTTGAAAACTACACAGTAAATCTCACAAAATGTTAGTTACTTCACTGTGGTCAAGATTCAAATACTTAGTTTAAAGGTTCAGTGTGTAAGTTTTAGTGATATCTAGTGGTGAGGGTTGCAAGTTGCAATCAGCGGCTCACGGTGCATTCACATGCAAGTTGTGAAGTAGTTCTTCCAACTTCAGTGTGTTCATGTGCTCTGAAGTCTGAATGTGGAATCAACATGGATGCTACTACAAAGATGTGTTGGATTAGCATCATCAGAGCATATAAACAACACGCAGACATCTAGTTCACTCTACACGGACAGCAAACTAACCCTTATAACCATATTACAAATTACATGTTTGCAAAATATGTATAGACCAGGGCTGACCCCGAATAGTCGAAGATTCGATACTTCGATGGGAGGAGCCTGATTCAACTTTCAGTCTCACAGATCATACCATTTTGGTGATATGTGGGTGCTCAACGTCTGATTTGAAATAGAACTACCAGTTTTCTCCCAATAAGTTAATATGCTGCCTATTACAATATACACTTGTATACTGTAAATAAACATGTGACGCATTTTATAAATGTCTTTAAAGTGCGTGAATAAATCCAAAGTTGTAACCCTAACCGTTAAGGAAGGGGGCGTCAGCACACGTGTGGGCGTAATGTGTGTGTGTGTGTGTGTGTAGTAGCAGAGTAACACCTGCAGAAGAGACGTTTTTAAACCGCAACGTGCAGTTAGTTGTCAGGCACGCGTGCACACAAAACTCGGCACAAGACCGGTGAATGGCAGGCGAGCAGAGAGAAAAGGGTCAACAATAAGCCTCAGTTCAGCTGTAAATGTACAGTGTAAGTAACAGTGAGTAAGACTGCAGTCATATGATTCGACTGTCAGTTGACTATAGGCAAGACTTGACAATTCTGATTCGACTGTGTAAATCCTTAGTCGGTGACAGCCCTAGTATATATAATACATGATTTTCTACAAATCAAAGTTTTGTATACTTCTTTATGTCCCATGTACATTTTATTTCTCTTTTTGCAATAAAGATATAAGGGGGGAAAATTTTTTAATTATTCATGAACGCACCATCAGTCACCTCTCCAACACGCTCTATATGCTCTTGTTCCTGGTGTCTTCTAATAAATAATAATAATTTGGTCTATTTGGGTAAATAGAAATTCATTCTGAATAATAAACACAAAGAGTTTGTTTAAAGCTAAAATCCAAACCTTTCTGCACACTGTCGCCCTCTGCAGCAGTGAGAGGAAACTGAAATGATGATCAAACTGCAGAGTTGTTGTGGAAGCTGGCTGTTTATTTCAATCAGCCACTGCAACACATTGAAAATGATACAACTAGCAAAGTGTGACAGAGCTGGGCTTCTGTTTGATTTCAGTGTTTAAATATAGACTGTACATGCCGTGAAATACTTAGCTTCCAGTTCTACATGTTTGTTTTGATCAGACGTTATTGGCTTTCATTACCAGCACAGGTGTGATGTGAAAGGACAAACAGTGTTTCTTAAAAGCAATTTATTACATTCCATTTTGAAATAACATTTTGTATACTGAGTAAAATCCTGAACTTATGTAATGTACCTGCACAGGTAACAATGACGCTTACATTCTACTCTAATCTTGTGCTACATGCTGCTGCTGACGTCTACCTGCTGCTGCTAATGAAAACTAAAAATGAAAATGTTTGCAGTTAAAGGTAAATGTATCCTCATCCTCCACAGCCCCCTGTTCTCCACTGACTACTTCAATGCTGTACTTCTCTCTGTTTCCATCCAGGTGAGTCTCTCTGGTTACAGTTTTGGTTCAAGGCTGAGGCGTTGGTACAATCAGGATCAGACTCCAACTGATGGGGAGAGAAAACAAGATGAGAGGCAACGGCCTCATAAATGGCATTAGAACAATTTGTTTTTAAATTAAAATGAATGTATAAGTCAACAAATTATAACTCTTTGGTAGAGGAAGTTCTGTCACTGTGGCCCAACAGATTTCTCACCTCTAATGTCTCTATGGGTTCATTTGGTTCAGTGGTGGAGCTCAGAGTTTTCTTCTTTCTAAATTGAATCCAAAAACAAATAAATAAAAAGTCAATAACTCCAAAACTATGAAAGTAAATATTCAAAGATCAGTGATGAAACTGATTTATTCTTATAGTTTCACCTCATCCACAGACAAACCAGAAGCAGAGGAATCAGCATCACAACCACCAGAGTCAACCTGATGATATTTATTATCATTGTTGTTTTATCTAGAAATGGAGATAGACAGTTATTAGATAAACTGTGCTGGACCTTATTAGGAAGTAGTAGGGTTTAATTCATGAATCAGTTTGCCAGGTGATTATCTTCTGTTAATCAGCCAATTAGTGTCATGGAGAAATGTACCTGCCACAACAATCAGATGTAAGGTGGAGTTATGACGTCCTCTTCTGTAATAATTCCCACTGTGTTCAGCTCTGAAGTCAGTGATGGTGAAGTTCTGTCCTGATGCTTTTGGTGAGTCTTCATTCTCCTTGTACCAGGTATAATTAGCTGCTGGGTTAGCATCACTGCTGCAGGTCAGAGTCACTGAACTGCCCTCCACTATCTCAGCAGAGGGACTCACTGACACAGAGGGAAGCTTTGGAGCATCTGGAGGAGAAAAGAGACAACTTATCAATCTACCTGTGTTTAGGCGTGGACTGCTACGAGCTAAAAGGTGCAATACATTTATTTTTATTCATTATTCTCATGTGCCAGTGTTACTTCCTGCTTCATGAGTTCATCTTGTCCCCCCTACAAAGCTAGCTAGCAGGCTATAATAAAAACGAATAGACCTGTACATGAAACTTGGTCACAGGTGTCATCTTCATGACCCTTTTCTGTGAAGAAACTTGAATCACAAAATTAATTCAAATTCAACTCAAAAGAGGATGAGAAGCCCTGATGATAGATGTTCCCGAGTCTTGCTCCAGCTGCTGTTTCTGTGTTCCTCCTGCTAATAATGTGTTCAGCCTCTCTTCTACGTTGACAACACTGCACAGGACTGAACTGCCCTCCATTATTTTACCAGAGGGACTCGCTGACACAGAGGAGGTCTTTGGAGCATCTGGAGGAGATGTGTTAGGATTATTCTAGGTTAAGGGTGTGTCACTACAGTAGCACATCTGGTATTTACATTATAAACTGTGAACAGCTGGGTGCAGCACATTTTAGACTTTAATGGTGGTCTGATGAATGGATGTGTGACGGTTTGAATCCAAAAACTGCATATAACTCCTAAAATGTCCTGCAGTTAATGTGAAGCAAGTAGAGCTGAAGGATGTAGGCATGGTCAGTAATGCTCTAATGTTAAACTCAGATACAACTGAAGTTATTGTTCTTTTCTGTTCTATAGTTTCCCTTGATGGCATCGCCCTTGCCACCAGCACCACTGTGTGGAATCTTGGAGTTATCTTTGATCAGGACATGTCGTTGAAGTCTCACATTAAGCAAATTTCAAGGACCGCCTTTTTCACCTACGTAATATTGCGAAAATCAGGAACATCCTGTCTAAAAATGATGCAGAAAAACTAGTCCATGCATTTGTTACTTCTAGGCTGGATTACTGCAATTCCTTATTATCAGGCTGCTTGAAAAAGTCCGTTAAGACTCTTCAGCTGATCCAGAATGCTGCAGCACGTGTTCTGACAGGAACCAGGAAAAGAGATCACATTTCTCCTGTTTTAGCTTCTTTGCATTGGCTTCCAGTAAAATCCAGAATAGAATTTAAAATCATTCACATTACCCTGGTCAGCTGTTTTCACCTCGACCTTTCTTACGTGGCCATCGTTTCCAGGGAAGGTGGCAGTGATCCTGGCCATAGGCCAGCAGTTGCGGACAGTCTGCTTGTCTCTGAGTAGAACTAGGTCTCCAACTTCAAGGTTTCTTCGAGGTACTGTCCACTTATGTCTGTGTTGCAGGGAAGGTAAGTATTCACGGCTCCAGCGGGTCCAGAACTGGTTTGCAAGAGCCTGAACCTGTCTCCATTGCTTTGTGTAAAGGTCCTTGTCTGAGAACTCTCCTGGAGGGGGTGGAGCTCCAGTCTTCTGCGTAAGAAGCATTGACGGTGAGAGTATGAAAGGGTTTTCCGGGTCAGCAGAGACAGGTAGGAGTGGACGTGCGTTCATGATGGCCGTGACCTCAGCCATCAGTGTGCAAAGAACTTCGTGGGTTAGGCGAGTGTTATGTTGGAGAAACATTGAATCAAGGATTCTTCTAGCGACACCAATCATGCGCTCCCAAGAGCCTCCCATATGGGAGGCATGTGGCGGGTTGAATTCCCAGATGCATCCTTGCTCACTGAGGAACTTCTGCAGCCTTTTGTCCATCCCAAGCTCCTTGCGCGCTCCAATAAAGTTGTTGCCACAATCAGATAGGAGCTGTTTCGCAGGGCCTCTGAGTGCGAAGAAGCGTCTGAGGGCATTTATGCAGCTAGATGTGTCCATAGCCTCAATTACCTCGATATGCACTGCTCTTGAACTCATACAGCTGAACATGATGGCCCACCGCTTGCTCTCTGCCTGTCCTCCTCTGGTGCGTCTGGTAGAGATGGACCAGGGACCAAATACATCGATCCCCACATATGTAAAGGGAGGGCAGGTTTTAAGGCGTTCAGGTGGCAGGTCAGCCATGAATTGTTCTTCCAGCTTTCCGCGCAGCCTGCGACAGGTTACACATTTGTGGAGTACTGAACTGATTAATGTTTTGCCTCCCAAAATCCACAATCCTGCTGCCCTAATCGCGCCTTCTGTCAGGTGTCTGCCTTGGTGTTTTACTTGCTCGTGGTGATGTTGGGTGAGCAGTAAGGAGATGTGGCTACCTTTGGGCAGGATTATTGGGTTCTTTTCGGCAGCAGGGAGTTCTGAGTGCCTTAATCGGCCCCCAACACAAATGAGGTTGTCTTCCAAGAATGGGCTGAGTTTCTGCATGGGGCTATTTTTGGGTATTGCTTTGTTGGCTCGGAGTACGAGGTGAATTACATCTGTGCCAGCCTTTGCATTTGCTGTTTTTATTTGAGTGCTTGCAGGATCTTGCCATGTGGATGAGGTATGCTACTCCTCTTACTAAGGAGTTGAAGGTGGAGAACCGTTGGAAGCGGTCTGGGGTAAGCATAGATTCTTCCAGGTATGTAGCACAGGTCTGAACTTGGGGTCAGATTTCCGGGTCCCTTCCAGGTTCAACTAGCTCAAATGTCTCACTAACTTGCATTTTTTCTGCTGGAGGCTGATACAGAAAGGAGGGTCCCATGAACCAAGAGGTCTGCGCCAGATGGGATGCAGGTAAGGATCTTGACGCATGGTCGGCAGGATTTTCCTCTGTACGTACGTAGTTCCATTGTTCAGGCTTTGAGGACTGTCGAATGCGTTGCACTCTATTGTGAACATACACATAGAACCGTTTTGCCTCGTTACAAATGTAGCCTAGCACTACTTTGCTGTCCGTATAGAACTTTGTCACATCTAACTTCAGGTCTAGCTCTTCCTGTATGAGATCTGCCATCTCTACAGCTAAGACTGCGGCGCACAGTTCCAGCCTTGGGATTGTAGGCATGGACTGGGGTGCTAGCTTTGTCTTGCCCATAACAAATCCCACGTCAACTTTCCCATCTTGCTGAACTGCTCTCACGTACGCCACAGCACCAATTGCCTTAGTTGATGCGTCAGAAAACACACACAACTCTGTGTGCACTGCTTTATTGAATGAGGTTTTTGTGTACGTACGCGGTACATGCAGTTGTTTTAGGTCTCTGAGCGAATGTCTCCAGGCTTCCCATCTGCATAGTTTGTCTTCTGGGAGGGGTGTATCCCAGTCGGACAGTTCAGAGGTAAGTTCTCTGAGGAGGGCTCTTCCCTGGATCGTGACGGGTGCCAACAAACCCAGGGGGTCGAAAACACTGTTGACCGTGGAGAGGACTCCGCGGCGGGTGAAGGGTTTGTTTGCGGTTGATGTGGAGAAGGTGAAGGTGTCAGTTGTGATCTCCCAGAGTAGACCTAAGCTCCGCTGTGTCGGTGCGGTTTCTCCGCCCAGGTCTCTTCAGGTGAGAAGGCCTCCGTTACAGCTGGACAGTTCGACACAAACTTGTCTAAGCAAAGGTTTGACTCAGCGAGTGAGGCCTGTGTGCGTTGGAGCAGGTTGATTGCCTCAGCTTGAGATGGTACGGATATCAACCCATCGTCAACGTAGAAATGCCTTTCCACATAGTTGACTGTATCTGCACCATGCTCCTGTGCACCTTCTCTGATGGCTCTTCGCAGTCCGTAGGTGGCAACGGCGGGTGATGGTCTGTTGCCGAAGACATGGACCTTCATCCGGTACTCTATAACTTCCTTGCTGACATCGTTGTCTTTGTGCCATAAAAAACGGAGGAAGTTGCGGTGGTCTTCGCGCACCAAAAAACATTGGAACATCTGCTGGATGTCTGCCATGATAGCGATCTTCTCTTTCCGGAAGCGTAGCAGGACGCCTAGGAGGGAGTTATTTAGGTCAGGGCCTGTTAGGAGTACGTTGTTAAGGGAGATACCGTAGTACTGGGCGCTGGAATCAAAGACTACCCTGATCTGACTGGGTTTTTGTGGATGGTAAACCCCAAATGTTGGGAGATACCAGCATTCTTCAGCTTCTTTCAGAGGGGGCGCTACTTCGGCATGTCCGTTAGCGAAGATCTTCTCCATGAATGCCACATATTGTTCCTGCATCTCAGGTTTCTTTTTCAGGGTTCGTTGCAGAGAGGCAAACCGCTTGACCACCTGTTCTCTGTTGTTTGGCTGGCGTAGTTCTCTGAACGGTAGTGGGGCGACCCAACTGTTAGCATCATCTCTGTAGACGTTTGTGTCCATTATTTTTAGGAAGATGGTGTCTTCCACTGATTGAGCAGGTTTGTTATCGTTCTCGCTTTGGTTGAACACTGTCTTACCCAGCATCCTCTCAGGCCTGTTAGAGCTTTGCTGCGTCTCTTTTACATGCATGAAGCTTGTGCAGGGTTGAAAAATGGAATGGCGACCACTATCCAGCACGTTGGTCTTAAACGTGTTGACTGTCGGCTTATGCACATTACCCAGACACACCTCTCCTATTACTACCCATCCCAGGTCCAAACGCTGGGCGAAGGGGGCATTGTGTGGTCCATTGACCTGCTGCCTGACCTTGTGTGCTCTAAGGACATCTCTTCCGAGTAGCAGGAGTATTTCTGCATCCGGGTCCAGTTCCGGGATGTACTTGGCGATGTGTTGAAGATGGGGATGGTGTAAGACTGCGCTCGGCGTTGGAATCTCAGACCGATTGTTCAAGATCTCGTGACACTCAATGAGTGGTGGGAGAGAGATGAGAACCTTGCCATCCAATGACTCGATCTGGAATCCTTCTGCTTTTTTGCCGGATGTTTCTACGATTCCAGAGCAGGTTCTGAGGTGATACGAGAATGGTTTGCACTCCACATTGAACAGCTCGAAGAACTCTGGTCTAGCTAATGAGCGATTGCTCTGGTCATCCAGAATTACATAGGCTTTGATGGCCCTCTCCTTGGCATCCTTCGGATATATCTTTGAGAGGCAGATCTTTGAGCATGAGCGACTCCATTGGTTTGGGCCGCAAACTTCTGTGCAACTGGTTCTAACAACGGCTGTGTTAGTGTGATTTTCTCCCTCCCCGCCGTTCTCCTGTGGTGGTGAAGGAGTTGATGGGCCGGGATGCATAGCAGCATCATGATAGGTGCTATCACATTCAGAGCACTTCATGGAGGACTTGCAATCTTTGGCAAGGTGGGTGACTGAAGAACAGCATTTGAAACATATTCCTTTCTCCTTGAGGAAGGCCTTTCTCTCCTCGAGGAGTTTGTTTCTGAATGTCCTGCATTTTTTGAGAGGATGTGGTTTGTTGTGTAATGGGCAGTTCTTGTTAAGGTCGTCATTGGTAGTAGAAACATCAGTTTTATGCACTGAAATGGGTCTGTTGGTGTTCTTCACACTAGATTTGTCTGGTCTTGTGGGTGTGGTTACACTGCTTTGATACATGAAGCTAGGATCGTTTTGCTTCTTCGCTTCATAGCACACGAAGTTACTGAAATACTCAAAGGGAGGGAAGCGACCTTGGTTCTGTTCTTTGTACCAGGATCCAGAAGACACCCACTTTTCTTGAAGTCCATATGGAAGCTTGTCCACGATTGGCCTGATTCCACGTGAAGTATCCAGATATGATAGGCCAGTGAGATAGCCGTCTTCTTTAGCGCCTTGGATCTCCATAAGCAAATCTCCTAGTTCACGTAATTTGGTGTGGTCCCTGGCTGAAATCTTAGGAAAACTGTCCAACCGATGAAACAGTGACTTTTCAATGATTTCAGGTGCAGCATAGCACTCACGTAGTCTCTCCCATGCCTTGTGTAAAGCAAGTTTGGGGTTACCGACATGCACTGCGCGTATGCGTTTAACCTGTTCGCTAGATTCTTTTCCCAGCCATTTAGTCATAAGATCCAGTTCTTTGGTGGCTGTGAGGTGAACTTCATCAGCTGCATTGGTAAATGAGGAGTACCATGCACGGTAATTTCCTGGCTTATCGTCAAATTGGTACAGTCCTGAATTGACAAGGTCTCGTCGTGCCAAATACTGTGTCAAGGGCTCCACCAAAGGTGGTGTGCTAGGTGGAGGAATCGGTTGCGGAGCATATATCTGGGCATGAAAATCCATGGTAGGGTCTGTTCTTCTGACTTCAGGCTTCGTCTCCAATCTAGTCGAATCAGGTAAGTTTGGTGCAGGTAAGTGTGTACTGGTCACTTTTTCAGACTGTGGCTCATTGATAGGTTCTAATTGTGAAGCGTCTTTCACTTGTGGGCTCCATGTAACAAAGCTGTCATGTGATTCTGCATGGGGTGGGGAAGCCACAGGTAAGCCTGCCAAGAGTGGGGAGGAAGAACGATTCTGAAGGTTGATTTGAGATTGGATATAATCCTTGGTGCGTTCAATTTTAACCTCTTCTGCTTTTCCCACTTTGTCTAAAAGATGCATTGCTTCAGCGTTTTCCAGCACCTCTGCTTCCACCACGGCTGCAGCAGCTTCTCTGTGTAGCATTAACACTTCCAACTCTGTGTCTATCCTTACCGTAAGATTGATCCTTTACTAGACACTTCTTCATACATGCTGTCTGTGTGGTGAAAACTGTAAATAAAGGCAGTACAAACATATTCAATGTTCTTAACTAAACTAAACACCATTGTACATAGTTGTAAATATGAACATACATCATGCATATAGCATGGCTGTTAGCTTGCACACTAGGGTAAAAACAAAAACGTTTTTTAAATTAACTTATCAAACATAATTTTTTAACAAATCCCTGCTAATATATAAACTTTAACATGTCTATTGTCAAATGAATTAACTTACGGCATTGCCTCTATGATGTTCCAGAGTGGATGCAAGCAGATTAGTCTCAGAGCATACATGTCTGCTTTCCTTTCCGCATGTGGAGATAAACAGGAAGTAGCTAAACAGGAAGTGACGTCATGGTGTGAAACGAAAATAATACTAATTTACAGATTATTTATTTTGAACTGAGAAGTAGTTATGTACCTCATTTCCAACTAAAAATAAAAACCAACGAAATAATTCATAAAAAAATTAAGAAAGCCCTAAAGGCACCACACTCTCCCTCTCCCTCTCTTTCTCTCTCCTTCCCTCTCTTTTTCTCCCCCTCTCCCTCTCTCCCTCCCTCCCTCTCTCTCTCTCTCTCTCTTTTCCTCTCCTGCCCTCTCTCGCTCTCTCTGTCCCTCTCTCTCCTTCACCCCAACCGGTCAAGGCAGATGGCCGCCCACCCTGAGCCATGGTTCTGCTCGAGGTTTCTGCCTCTTAAAAGGAAGTTTTTCCTTGCCTCTGTCACCTAGTGCTGCTCTTGGTGGGAATTGTTGGGCTTCTGTAAATAGCATCATAGAGTACGGTCTAGACTTTTATGAAAAGCGCTGTGAGATAACTGTTGTTGTGATTTGGCGCTATAAA